CGTCAATGGAACGTCGAGCTGACGCCAGGTGCTAGTGTACTAGATATAGGAGCTTGGAGAGTATATGTAGAACGTGATTAGTAGACATATATATCGACCTTTAATCATTCGCCATTGAAATGGTAGTGCTCTGATCCACCCTGGCTCGCACCACCTGCAGCCGTTAGCCACATTGCTTGCAGGCCTCTTCGACTATGTCTGTTGCACCACCTTTGGGTAAAGACCTAGCTTCAGTTGGTAAACGAAATTTCATACGAGCTTTTACAAGTTCTCATAAAAAGTTTTCAGACAAGAAAACGCGTGATGCCGCGGTGAAGAGTCTTCGCAATTTTCTTGCTACAACTGCAGAACAACCGTTACCAAAGCTGGAAATGACAAAGCTCTGGAAGGCTATATTCTACTGTTCGCTATTCTTTCGATCTTTCACCATCAATGCTAAAGGGGTCATGTCGCCCTTTCTAGGTTTTTGGCTTTCCGATAAACCATTAGTGCAACAGGAGCTTTCATCATCCCTGGCGGATCTACTATTCGTCATACCATCCTCACATGAATCTCTTCAATTTCTCAGGGGATTCTGGGAAGCTATAGTGAGGGAATGGTCCGGACTTGACTACCTTCGGTATGTATATACTTCATTCTTTCTAGCCAACTATGACTAACGCTTCTGCAGGATAGACAAGTACTATCTCCTTGTGAGAAGATTCGTTAATGCTTCCTTTCGACTCTTGATTAGAGAAAAATGGGATGTCAAAGCCATGGAAGAGTACTCGAGTATCATGTCTGGACGTGGAGGTCCTTTGTAGTAGGTGCCACCTCTATGTGGGATCACTCAAGCTAAAAATAAGATAGCCCAGAAGACCGTAAAATTCCTAGTAGCCTCGGTTATCATCTAGCGGATATATACAATGACGAGCTCAATAAAGCCATGGCTGCTGATCCTGAGGTGCGTTTCTCTTTGCCACTCTCTTTCGATCCACTCATGGTTGAGTAGGCAGCTCCTGTGCCTCTAGTGCCACTGTTCACACCGTTCTTCAAATTAATATCGCTCTCAACTTCT